GATGCCTCACGCACGACAGTAGGCTCGCAGAAGGCCAGAGGAGAACTCTCCGCCTCGGTCAGAGTGCAGACGCAGAACAGGAAAGTCCGAGCCGAAGCTCCTCCTAAGCTGGAGACGAGCTGCGCGGATCCAGTCGATCAACACCTCAGCGACATCACCCTTGCTGCGCAAGGGGAAGACTGTGGTGTAACGCGAGTAGTCGTCAACCACCAGCAGGAAGTAGCGCTTGTGACCCTGTCCACGGACGCGGGCAGGGCCCCACACGTCCATGTGAAGCGTCTACAGCGGGGCCTCTGTCGGGGGAAACTGAGAGGAGTGAGGGGCAGCGCGGAGCCGCCCCTCGACACAGGGAACACAGGAAGGACCAGGCCCCGGAGGAAGGGGAGGGAGGGACCGGGGAAGACTAGAGACAAGGACACGGGAAGCCATGCCTCGGAGACGAGGCAGGGAGGGGTGACCAAGGCGGTGGTGCCAGAGGAGAGTCTCGTGAGACAGGAGGCGACACGAGCAGGGGGCAGACTCAGGACCAGACCTGGACGCTGCAGCAAACACCTGACCCGACGCAGCTACCTGGCTAGACGCAGGGACAGGAGGAGACCCAGTGGTCAGGGTGTAGAGGCTCGACCCCGGCCGACGCGTAAACGTGGCCAGGTGCCGGCCTGTGCGAGCGTCCGAGCAGTGGGTCACCCGCTGACTCGCAGGAGTAAACTGGTGAACCCCCGTATCCTGCAGGTCAGCACCACTCACCAAGTTCGTAGAGAACGAGGGGAGGTAAAGACTAGACAAGGTGCCAAAGGGGGCAGCCGTCACGGGAGGACAGTGGAGAAGTGAGAGAGGACAGGACCCCTAGAGGGGTCTGCCAGGGAGACTGCAACTGGCCGACCAAGCGGCGTGAGTGTGGTGCGGTCTCGAAAGAAGGAGCGAGAAGCCCCTGAGTCAAGTGTGAAGGTGAGGGAGGCCGAAGCCGACGTGGTACCTGAGAGCGCAGACTCACCAGCACCTGAGGGCGCGGACGCACTGGCACCTAGAGCAGCAGCCTCACCAGTACCTAGAGCAGCAGTACCAATGCCCGGGTCGGGCGGGAAACACCGGTAACAGTCACCCTCATCACTGATAGTCACAGCATACATGGCAGCAAGGATAGCATCAAAGTCAAGATCAAAGATAGCTACGCCTGCCCTAGACAGCTCTCCCGAGCGGGGGATCTCACTAGCCTCCGGGAACTGCTGACGCCAAGTGTCCGTCAGGCGGCCAAAGCAGCGTTGGGTGGGGTGAGCACCCCCACACTGCTCACCTGCGCGGTCGCCGGAGCGGAGGACGTAGGTGCACGGGCCAAAACCCCCACCACGCTGACGCTGCGTGTACCACTCACGCAGCTGCTGAGGGTGGGGGATGTCCCGAGAACGCTGCTGCTGCTGCTGCTGGCGCTGACCACTCCCGGAGCCGCTCCGCTGAGAAGTACCACCCCGACCAGCTCCACCTCCTCCACCACCGCCGCCTCCACCTCCGCCGCCACCGCCGCCTCCGCTCCCACCGCTACCGCCACCGCCGCCTCCGCCTCGGCTGCTGCCACCGCCACCTCCACCCCCGCCACCACTCCCACCGCCACCCCCACTCCCCCCGCCGCCCCCACCGCCACCTCCACCACCCCCGCTAGACCCACCCGCGCCCTTGCCCCCCTTGCCCTTGCCAGAGCGGCGTCTCCCGCTAGGGGCAGACGCCGCACCGACCGACTCAAGACCGACGAGGTCGGCCGCAGCAGTAGAGGCGACAGAGGGCAACAGGGGGGAAGGGGAACACCCCTCAAAGATGGGGGTGCGAGGGTCACCACGAGAGGCTCCTACAGCGACTATGCTCTTCTCCGCTGCTAGGAGGGCCTTCTCTAGGAGGTCAACAGTGAGAGTGGTGTGACAGACTGAGAGGAAGTGGTCCCTGACTACGCGAAGGGAGTCAGGGAGGCGAGTGACTATATAATAGAGAGTGATGTACATGGGGGGGGGATTCTTGGCGCAGAACTCAGCAGGAAGTGCGGCGCGGTAGCGAGTGTCACTAGTGCGGAGGTGCGTAACGAGGTCAGCGACTGTGGGAAAGGCAACAAGGCCAGGGAAGAGGTACGGTAGCATGAGGCGGCTCAGTGCAGCAGTGGCAGGGGAAGAGTAGCGCGCAACTACAGCGTCGTATAAGGTGTGAGCACTCTTGTACTGACTAAAGTGCGCGCGCTCAGAGGTAGGTAGGTGGCGACGCACAGCAAGACGTGCCGCAGCATCGCGCGTGGCCCACTGGGAGCGAACAGTAGGGTCACCATCAGCACCAGGGGCAGGAGAGGCGCTAGAGGTGAGGTCAAAGAGGGAGAGACCGTCTTCCCTATCGCACTGTAAGAAGAGCTGCAAGTCATCTACCCAAACCTCAAAGTCAATGGCTTGACCCTCAGCGTCAAAAGCGAGAAGACTAGGGGAAGCCATGACAGCGGTAGACTAGCGAGACCAATTGTAGGACAGGGGCAGTGCAGTGACAGAAGCACTTGTCTCACCAGACAGGGCAAGTCGGGCAGCTCAGTAGTGCAGTTACACGGCAACACGGCTGCTCGGACGGCTCAGTAGCGACTGCGGCTCCGCGGCACCGGCGACTCGGCTGATCAGGCGGCTCGGGCGGCTCGGGCGGCTCGGGCGGCTCAGGCGGCTCGGGTGGCTCAGGCGGCTCGGGCGGCTCGGGTGTCTCGGGCGGCTCGGGCGGCTCGGGCTGTTCTGGCAGCTCGGGCGGCGCGGGCGGTGTAGGGCGGTAGGGCCGCTGGTGAACGGTGGCGGGGCCGCTGAGTAGGGCGGCGGGGCCGCAGGAGTAGGGCGGCGGGGCCGTAGGAGGAGGGCGGCGGGGCCGTAGGAGTAGGGCGGCGGGGCCGCAGGAGTAGGGCGGCGGGGCCGCAGGAGTAGGGCGGCGGGGCCGTAGGAGTAGGGCGGCGGGGCCGCAGGAGTAGGGCGGCGGGGCCGCAGGAGTAGGGCGGCGGGGCCGCAGGAGTAGGGCGGCGGGGCCGCAGGAGTAGGGCGGCGGGGTCGCAAGAGTAGGGCGGCGGGGCCGCTGCAGAAGGGCGGCGAGGCCGCTGAGTAGGGCGGCGGGGCCGCGAGGTAGGGCGACGGGGCCGCGAGGTAGGGCGGCGGGGCCGCGAGGTAGGGCGGCGGGGCCGCGAGGTAGGGCGGCAGGGCCGCGAGGTAGGGCGGCGGGGCCGCGAGGTAGGGCGACGGGGCCGCGAGGTAGGGCGACGGGGCCGCGAGGCGACGTGCGGCGGGGCCACTAGGGGAAAGGGGGGGGCCGCTAGGGCGGCTCGACGAGGTGAGAGCCCGAAGTGCGACTCGGGCGGAGCGCGCTTCGGGCAGGAAAAAAAAGGTCGATGTGGTGGGCCCTAGGCACAGTTCCCACGGGGGAACCTGCTCGATACCATGAGAACGTGTGAATGAGAATGAGTGAACTATGAAACAGTTGGGTACAAGTACTAACCCTAATTGGGTTGTACCCCATATGGGCTACCCCACTACAGCCCACACAAAAGCATAAGCTATGATGTTCTGACAGCCTTGTAGTGGGCCATGATGAATGGGAGTTGAAACGTTGCTGGCAGGGAAGTAGCAGCCTTAGTAGGCTAGGAAAACGAGGGTAGAGTGCTCTCTGGAGTTCTCTGGAAATTGCACTATGAGTTCACAAATTTCACAGTACAATTTTATAGAGCACATTCAAATATCGCGTCGCACTCCCAAGTCGCGACTCTCTCTGAATTTCTCAATGGTAACCCAACCCCTTTGAAATGGACCTGCCGTGAAATTCAGAGAATTATTGCGGTACGGGATTGGACGGCGAGCTTGGTTACGGGGCTGTAATTTCGTCGGTGTTGTTGGCGAAGTCGGCAAGCGGTCGGAACTTCGGTGTTCTGCGTTTCGTAATTTTCGCGCGAGGGTTTGTGTTGGGCTGTGCGTCAGGACCTGGTCGCCCAGCTGTAGGTTGAGGCGTTTGACCAATACGAACAGTTGGTGAGGTGGCGCTTGACTTCCGCCCACCTGCACTGTACTTGGCAGCATTCGGCCGCCACACTGTTACAGGAGTGGAATAAAAAGCTGTCTGTTGCACTTCATATCTGTACGGTTCTGTGCTGGTGTGATGTGAAGTGAAACTGCACAACGGCCAGCAGCAATGCCGCAGCGTCGCAGCGGCAGAGGAAGCAAGCAGGGAGGGCGGGAGAGGGATGGGGAGAAAAAGGGATGGGCGGGGAGGACGAGAGGAGGAGGGGGGAGGGTGGGCGGAGAGGTTGTTGGATGGGGGCAACCGGGGGCACTGGACTATAATAGTCTAGTCTATCTAGACTCGATACTGTACAGTACTGCCTCTAGGCGACGGTTGGGCCGAGCTGAATGTGGAGCAGCCAGCTACTTTGTCTTCATATTTTTCTATCGCGTGTTAGATTTGAAAGTGCACTCAAAGGTGTTGTGAGTTGTAAAAGAAATATCTGTAAAGGATTTTCAGCATTGCTTCACGACCTCATAAAAGTTCGGACCGTCATCGCACAGTAACGAGCTGTAACATACATGAACATAGAAGAAAACGATTGGACCGTTTTAAAACGCACGAAACGTTACTAGCTAGGTTGCTTACTAGGTATTCGCGATTCCAGATGCCGGCTCTTGTCCACAAATGCTCCCATCCACAAACTACACGCTTCGAGATAATCTCACCTAACCCTATCTGGAGAGTCTCGATGGCATTGGTTCGGCAGGCGTGTTCTATCCCCTCCCTAACCGAAAACCTCCTTCACCACCTCCCGCACCGCACGGCCCACCCCGTCAGCTCCACCCCGTCGAGCTCCTACCCTCGCTACAACCCAGCAGCAACTTTCCAGCAAATTCCAGACTTAAACTCGAATTGGGGCCAATGCCTCCGCGATGAACTTTTGTTCGCCAGAAGTTTTGACCTGCCAGACTCTCCTTTGTCAGACGACGATTCTGAGTCCGCACGCCTAAATGCGTTTTCCCGGGCGTGCAGCCGCACGCTCTAATCTCGGAGCGTGGATTCTCCTCCTCGCAGCCACGCTCACTGTCGGCGCTGCTGCTTGCTCCCTTTCCAGCGCTACTAGTACTACTACTAATCGCCCACCGCCGCGGCGAGATGTCCCACAGCGGCTTCTGTCCAGACAACGCCTGCTGTCTCGCGCTCGGCCCAGCCGTGCCCAACGCTCCCTTCTAAAGCTCGCCGCTACCGGCGGCGCTGCCGCGGCCGACGCGAGCGTTGGAATCGTTCTTGAAAATTCGCAATGTGAGTCGGTTTGTCCAGTCCAGGCTCTCAGCGCGCTTCCTCACACTGAGAGCTCAGCGCGCTTCATCACACTGAGAGCTCAGCGCGCTTCATCACACTGAGAGCTCAGCGCGCTTCATCACACTGAGAGCTCAGCGCGCTTCATCACACTGAGAGCTCAGCGCGCTTCATCACACTGAGAGCTCAGCGCGCTTCATCACACCAGCGCGCTTCCTCACTCTGAGAGCTCAGCGCGCTTCCTCACACTGAGAGCTCAGCGCGCTTCCTCATTCTGAGAGCTCAGCGCGCTTCTTCACTCTGAGAGCTCAGTGCGCTTCCTCACACTGAGAGCTCAGCGCGCTTCCTCACGCGATATCATCCTCCCATTTCGAATGGGATCCGGAGTTCGCACTCAGAGCTCCTCTTGTCATGAGCAGAGAGAGTATAGCACCTCGCTAATCACAGGATCAAAACGAGGGTGTTATTTTGGTGCAGCCGCGGAATGCCCTTAACACTAGCCCACAGGCGTTAGAGAGAGAATCCGACGTCAAAGTGCGGGCCGCCCTTCAAAGTGCGACGTCACACCGACCCAGCCCAGGCGCACGTGCCGGCACTGAGGTAGTTGTGCCGTCCATTGCCCCCGCCCTCTTTTCTGCAGTAAATGTGCTCCCATTTCCCCGTTGTGCCGCCAGAGCAGGCACTGCTGCAGCTGAAGGCGGCGTGGGGCGAGTGGGCGGGAAACAGCAACGCCACCACGACGTGCATCCCCCCCCCATGCCCCCCCTCCCCATCTTCCCCTCCCTCCTCTCTCCCCTCCCAATTGCATTCCCTGTACCGGCAGTGAAGGTGCTGCTGCAGCTGAATGCGGCGTGGGGCATCTGGGCAGGCAACAGCAACGCCACCACGACGCGCTCCCCCCTCTCCCCCCTCCCCCTCTTCCCCACCCTCCTCTCCCCTCCCAATTGCATTCCCTGTACCGGCAGTGAAGGCGCTGCTGCAGCTGAATGCAGCGTGGGGCGTGTGGGTGGGCAACAGCAACGCCACCACGGCGTGCTCTGCATGGGAAGGCGTCACCTGCAGCCCCAACGGGCTCGTCGTTTCCCTGTGAGTCGTTTCTCTGTGAGGATCGTTGCCCTGTGAGAATCGTTCCGCCACTCGCTGTTCTCGTTACCCTAGATTTCTGCTCGGTGCTGTGTGTCTCCCTTTATTAACATGTCCAAATTGCCCCTCGTTGCTGTAATTGCCTCCCAGTTAGGCCGTGGTCTATGTCACCGGCGTTGTATTGGTATTCAGAATCCAGCTAGCCACGTTTTTGTATATCTGGCTGGGAAAGGTTCGAATCCAGCTAGCCACGTTTTTCGCATGAAATTGTGGTGGAGCAAAATTTTGAATGTGGTAACCGAACTCCGAGGTTCCTGCGAAGCTAACCCCTGATCCAACCAAACGAGGACGTTTGACACCAGGGGCAGCACGGGGGTAATGCCTCCAGTCTTACACCAACGTGTTACAAGGGGACTGTTGCAGCGCAGAATAACCCTCGATTTGGCCAGCCTAGTTGAAGGCACCGGGAGATTCTATGCCCCCTCAGTACTCCGTCGTTACTCCTCATTGGCCCCCTCTGTCCTCTCCCTTCCCCCACAGTGTTTCACTGTGTCGCCCTTCCGCTGTCTGCTCCACTTGATTGTGTTGGATTGTGTGTGTGCGGGAGCATTGCACTCCGGACAAGGGGGGAGATGGGTTGAAGGATGTGGGGGGTGGGATGGGGGAGGACTGGATATTTGAAGAATGGAACTGGGGTGGACGGGAGATGGGGGAGGAATGGGAGCTGGTTGGTATTGCGTGCGTGCATGCATTCGTGTGTTGGCAGGAATTCAAATCTAATGCTGCCTAATCGGGATTCCCCCCCTCCCTCCATCATACCTGCCTCCATCACCGGTCTTTCCACTTTGCAACTCCTGTGCGTCACCACCCACCCACCCTCCCACCCACCCTCCCTCTCCCTCCGCTACATCCATCTTGCATGCATTGCATCTAGTACCTAACCTTTCCCTAGTTTGCCATGGCCTCGCCCCAACCTCATACTGCTCTGTCGTTCCATCTCGTTCTTGCATTCACATGCCACAACTGAACATACCCTCTTCCCGCCCTTGCATGCCTCCCTTGCGCACTAGCCACACCACAAGCTGCAAAACTTCAATGCCAGTCACAGATCTCAAGGCTCCATTTTACCACTGCTGATCTCAGGCTTCCTCTCGCCATCTCCACTGCTGTTCATTCGCTCCCATCCCATCCCATCCCACAGTAATCTGACCTTCTTTTGTCTGTTCAGGCCCATTCCATCCCTCGCCACTCTCACTGACCTCACGCACCTGTGAGTGTTGCTCTTCCATTGTTCCATACCAGGTTAACTGAATGTTGGACCCTGCCCTGCCCATCCAATATGCCCATCCAATATGACCATCCAACACCCTCCTTCACTCCTCTGCACCCCCTCATCCTGCTCTTTCCAGCTGGATTGATCGTTGTTCCTGCAAATTTTTAAAACTGGAGTCATTTCCCTTCCCTACCACAACTATCATCTCCTGTCTCTTTTCTCACGCCGTTCATTACCAATCGCTTGTACAAGTACTTTTGAGTCGACTCAAAAGTCGTACTCATAAGTCCTCGTGTATTCCAAATAGTAATATCCTTATTTCCCCTAAACCCTGCATTCCCATGGCTGCGTGGCTGCCCCATGTGGTCCCATGTCCCACTAACTGTACCACGTGCACCCTTCATGTTCACTGTTGCTGCTTGCATGCCCCATGTGCACACAGAGCTATTGGGTCGGTTTTTGGTTGCAGATTCATCGGCACTCTGGACGGACTGGCCTGGCACATCGGCACTCTGGACGGACTGGCCTGGCTCTCCTCCCTCACCAACCTGCAAATACTGTACTTCACTTCACTTCACGCAATGCAAACACAGTTCGCCTTACGAGCCAATGTTATTCCTGCGAGCAATCACTGCCACTGTCACTCTTCTTCCACTGTCATCCAGCCTCGCTGTCTTAGTTTAGCAATCGCCTTTAGATGACGTTAGGGAAACGGTGTGGCTGGAGAATTTCTGTATTTTCAGTTACATATTTGTTCAAAACAAGGTATTGCACAATTCGGCTCAAACAAAACTTTTTAAGCAATTAAGAAAGAGTTGGGAGCCTCGTGTAATGCGTGTGCCGCATTTAGCCACGTGCCGTATGGTGGAACCGGATTCGCTAACCAACCCTGAAACGAAAACTGACCTGTTGCGTTTGTACCAAGCATGGTTCAATTGCGGTTGGACATTTAGGTTGAGGCAAATTGCTTCTCCTTCATTTTCCGTCCAGCCCCACCGTTCTAGCTTTACTAGATTCCGCACATTGTTGACTTTACCCACCACTCCTAGCATTGTTCTACCAACCCTAGGTTAAGTGCTCAGGTGGGTAATAGGGTAGCGGCAAACCACCCTAACACGCTGCACGCCACATCGTGCGATGCAGCAGTCCCCATGCTGCTACGTTACACTATCTGCAATGGCTTCTCCCATGTCGCACTTCCCTCTCTTCAACCAGGTCTCTACAGTACTTGCCATTCACAGGGGACCTGTCCTCCCTGCACATTCTTTCACACCTGAGAAGCCTACATCAGCTGTAAGCATCATTGCGATATAAGAACGTACGGGATGGTGGTGGCTCCCCGTTCCTATTCTTAATGTGCTTGTCACCATGTGAATTTGTTCCATCCATACCAGCTCACGATTGCCAATGGTAGTTCTTTCATTATTGCTGATTACATGTGCATGACCACAGGCATGTCAGTAGGCTCACCAACGCCACAGGGGAGATACCCAGAGAGCTTCAATACCTGACTGCCCTCACTGCACTGTAAGCTCTACTCAAGTCCGATGGGACAGGTGAAGCGGATTCGTTGGTGTGCACGAGTAACACATCCCCATCTACATCTCCATCCCCATCCCCATCCCCATCCCCATCCCCATCCCCATCCCCATCCCCATCCCCATCCCCATCTCCATCCCCATCCCCATCCCCATCCCCATATCATCCCCATCCCCATCCCCATCCCCATCCCCATCTCCATCCCCATCCCCATCCTGATCCCCATCCCCATCCCCATCCCCATCCCCATTCCCAGCCGCATCCCCATCCCCATCCCCATCCCCATCCCCATCCCCATCCCCATCCCCATCTCCATCCCCATCCCCATCTACATCTCCATCCCCATCCCCATCCCCATCCCCATCCCCATCCCCATCCCCATCCCCATCTACATCTCCATCCCCATCCCCATCCCCATCCCCATCCCCATCCCCATCCCCATCCCCATCCCCATCCCCATCCCCATCTCCATCCCCATCCCCATCTACATCTCCATCCCCATCCCCATCCCCATCCCCATCCCCATCCCCATCCCCATCTCCATCCCCATCCCCATCCCCATCCCCATCTCCATCCCCATCCCCATCCCCATCCCCATCCCCATCCCCATCCCCATCCCCATCGCCATCGCCATCCCCATCCCCATCCCCATCCCCATCCCCATCCCCATCCCCATCCCCATCCCCATCCCCATCGCCATCCCCATCCCCATCCCCATCCCCATCCCCATCCCCTCGCCGGACATGAATGCAGCTCCATTGGTTTGTCTATGTGACGTGCTCTGCTATTGCTTTCCTGCCTGCTGCAGGGATCTGTCCTACCTTCAATTTGTGGAGTTCCCCATTTGGGTCACTCGACTCACCAACCTTCAGTTTCTGTGAGCTCCAGGGTTTAGGGTTTAGGGTTCTTCCTACTTCACCCTCCTACTTCACTCTCTAACTCCACCATTGTCACACACACGCCACACATCCCCCACGACACGAGGCACGGAGATGACCACGCGTGCCATGGCAATGGCTGTGATTGAGCTGCTCTGAGTGCGCTGGATCTTGGCAGCATCTTCTTGTGCGCAGGAACGTGCGTACAAAGTATCCACACCGGCAGGGGCGATTGCTGAATGATGACCTCTCTCAGCTCACAGCACTCACCTTCCTGTGAGTTTAGTGTGGCTTTATATTGGTGAGGATCCTTAGCATCAGCTCTTCGGAATCGGGTTTCCTTCTTACTCATTGAAAGCTAGTACGGCTAGGGTGTTGGGAAAGCAGCTAGGGTGCTGGGAAAGCTGTTAGGGTGTTGGGAATTTCTTGTATAGGATGTTGGGAATTGCTTCGTTGAAAGCTAGGGTGTTGGGAAAGCAGCTAGGGTGTTGGGAAAGCAGCTAGGGTGTTGGGAAAGCAGCTAGGGTGTTGGGAAAGCAGCTAGGGTGTTGGGAAAGCAGCTAGGGTGTTGGGAAAGCAGCTAGGGTGTTGGGAAAGCAGCTAGGGTGTTGGGAAAGCAGCTAGGGTGTTGGGAAAGCAGCTAGGGTGTTGGGAAATCAGCTAGGGTGTTGGGAAAGCAGCTAGGGTGTTGGGAAAGCAGCTAGGGTGTTGGGAAAGCAGCTAGGGTGTTGGGAAAGCAGCTAGGGTGTTGGGAAAGCAGCTAGGGTGTTAGGAAAGCAGCTAGGGTGTTGGGAAAGCAGCTAGGGTGTTGGGAAAGCGGCTGACATGCAATTTAAGAGCGTGCCTTGTTAGAGGTGATATGCATTAGCGTACTGTGGTGGCCCACTCAGACCGTCTCTGTTGCCGCAACGCTGTCTCAAGAAAATCACTCATAATTTCTTCCCTAGATTCGCATAACTCCCACCAGTTAATACTCAGGCGTCCGTCTGTTGCCTGCTCTCACACTCTTCAGCATCCTTTACGGAAACAACCTGGAAGGCTACCTCCCCAATAGCTGGACCAATCTGGTCCACCTGCAAAATCTGTGAGTTACTGTTTACCATACCGACTTGCCATCCTGCTATGTTGCCATACCGAGATTCTCCCTACTGTGGCGTCTGGGATTGAGCAAGTATCCGAACCAACGAGGAGTCTTTGTTTGCCAAAAACAAGCGGAACGATATGAACTTTTGCAGCCCTTGAATTGCTTCTCTAGGAAACCCGTACTGCTCGAGCTGCGATGCGAACCTGGAGTTGGATGTGCCTCACTTGCTTTGATTTGAAGGTTTCAAATGGTTCAACTCGAACGAAAACTGGTCTCTTACAGAAATAAGGCAGCGTTTTCCTTTGTTCAAAGCCTAGCATCTCAGTGGCTCTCTAAACAACACACTCTTTCTTCTCTCTCTCGAATGGTCCTTGCATTTCTTTGGGGGGTGGTACAACGGAAGGTGCAAAACACACAAGCACAACAGAAAACCGGCATCCAAACTATCTCAAGTCCCCTCTCTCTCTCTCTCTCGCTCTCTCTCTCTCTCTCTCTCTCTCTCTCTCTCTCTCTCCCTCTCTCTCTCTCTCTCTCTCTCTCTCTCTCCCTCCCTCTCTCTCTCTCTCTCTCTCTCTCTCTCTCTCTCTCTCTCTCTCTCTCTCTCTCTCTCTCTCTCCCTCTCTTTTATCAGTGACTTGGGATTCAACCAATTTGAAGGCACCATTCCGGCATCATTCTCGGCCCTCACTAGCCTGACTGCAATGCAAGTTTCATGTGTCCTCCGTGCTTCCATTGTCTTACCCTCACTCTGTTTGTCCTTGTCTGTATCCATCGTCCCTTCCTCACTCAGTACACCACTTGTTTCTTGCCCCCCCCCCCCTACTGCAGAGACCTTTCTTATAATCAACTGTCTGGTACAGTTCCCCCTGCATTTGCCACCAGCATCCAGTCAATGTATGTCACTCTTCCCTCCGCCTCCAGTCAATGGATGTCACTCTTCCCTCCGCCCAGCCAATGTATGTCACAAGCCTCACCCCAGGACATTCCACTTCCCATACCTTCATGATGCAGTATATTTTCAAAAATCAGCTTCCTCCTTTCCTTCATGCATTCCCTGCTGAGCGATTTTTCTTTGCCTCGTTAGATCTTCCAGTCCTTTGTTTCTGTGCTTGGACCCCTTACTCTTTTTCTGTCGGAGGTCCAATTTCTTTTGCACAAGGCACAAGCCTCTGGCATCCTTTGACTGCCTCTGCTAACCTTGATGCTTTCAACCAATCATGCAGAAAGCCATGAAAAAGTATGTAGCTCCAGACTTATGCAACCTCACTTGCGAAGTAGCCACCCGCCATTCCAGTGGGATGGTCTGCACCAGTGCTTTCACACAGGCTTACGAACAAATTCCTGAATTCCAGCTCCATGCCATGTAACGAGGCTGCCCCGCAAACTACTCCGATTTCCTTCCCGACCGTAACCCAAACCACTTCCCGTCAAGTTCCAATCACCCCTATGTGATTCCCAATCACTTCGTTGCTGGTTCAATGTCTCACATTTCAACACCACCAACATTTCAACACTTGCTGCTGTATGGCTTCATGCCTAACCTTGCCATGCCAAGCCACAACAACCACCCCATTCTCACTTCCTGTTTATCCCTCTTTTGATCTGTGCAGCATTTTCACGTTTACTTCAGTTTTCCATCCGCCCTTCTCTTCCGTCTCTCTTGTCCTGATGTGACCGTCAGGCCCTTCAACCCTGCCCCCCCACCTTGCACTCCATCTTCACTTTGTACTTTCAAAACCTTATTCCCCATGGCCTCTTCTCTCCCACCTTTCACTTATCCCTCATGGCCTCGCATCCTTTGCTCCATTCTTCCCCTTTCTCTTGTCGCCTCCTGTCTTGTCTGCCTATCCAGATTCCTCGAGCACAATGCCTTCACTGGGCCCATCCCACCACACCTGCTGGCTCTGCCCAACCTCTCTTATTTGTGAGGCCCCCATGTTTTCTGATCTTTACACACTCATCTTCTAACCTCCGGACCTATTCACCCTTTGGGCTCTCCTCCCACCTGCACTCACGGTCTCACCCCATTTCTCAAATCTTGTGTCACTCCCTTTCTAATCTGCAATGGTTCCTCTCGGCTGCCCTGGCTGCAGTGAGCTGTCCTACAATCAGTTCACAGGAGCCATCCCCAGCACCTTCACTCGCCTCACTGAGATGAACAGTCTGTATGTCTCTCCCCAAGCTGCTCTCCCCCCCCCATATAACTCTCCCTGCCCCCACTACATGAAACTGCTGCATGAACAGAATCAACTGGAGGGCCTCACGTCACGTGTTACTGATTGTTCTTTGCTGTGCCTCGTTTGACCATAGTTGCAAATTTCCCAGCATTAAGCTGGTTGCCTATATCTATGTGTGTGTGTGTGTGTGTGTGTGTGTGTGTGTGTGTGTGTGTGTGTGTGTGTGTGCGTGTGTGCGTGTGTGCGGGCATGCGCGTGCGTGCCCGGGCTCCACGTGACAGAGACATTTCTTCCAACAATCTCAGCTCAGGCCTTGACGTGGTGGCTCAGATGACATGGCTCCAATCGATGTGAGTCCTCTCCCCTCCCCTCTTCACCACCTCAGCTGGCCCTCACCCTGCTTCCTTTTCCTTCCCTCACCCTGCTTCCTTTTCCTTCCCTCACCCTGCTTCCTTTTCCTTCCCTCACCCTGCTTCCTTTTCCTTCCCTCACCCTGCTTCCTTTTCCTTCCCTCACCCTGCTTCCTTTTCCTTCCCTCACCCTGCTTCCTTTCACCTTGCTTTCCATCGCTTCCCTTGGTCCTTTTTGGCTGCCTGCAACATCTGAGCTAGGACCCTCTCTCTTCTGTACTGGCTATGCAGACTGATCAATAACAACAACTTCTCTGGTGTGCTTCCCGCGTCCTTCACAGCAATCAGTTACCTCGATTATCTGTGAGTCCTCTCGATCGATCTCTCAACTCATCAATACAACAACCCCGTTCATGGAACTTAATCGGGTGGGTGGGATGCTGCAACAGTAAGCGTTGTGACTGCCCCTGTTCTAAGTTCACCTGAGTATTTGTGCGCCCGTGCTTCGGTTATCATTTCATGTAGCCTTGTATTCCAATTCATGCTGGATGTGTGCTTGTTGTTGTACAGTTTCATATCTTCACTCACACAACTGTTTTCCTGCCTTCATATGCAAGTGCCAAAGCACGTATGCAGTGGCCTGTACATGAGTTAATGTGCTTTCCTAAGTATTTGTTTCATTATTTCCCAACCACGCTGTGGGCCTCATTCAGGGATGTTGGAAACAACCATTTCACTGGAACCTTCCCAGATTTTATTCTGCGCCTGCCGTACCTTTTGTACCTGTAAGACATCCACTTGTGGCCTTGAACAAAAGCGGGTTGCACTAAAGGAGCAAGAACGTAAGCAAAGCAAAGCACCGAGCCGAACCGGCTCGCTCTCGTTTGCTTCGTTCCCAGCGGAACTGCGCATAAGAGCCTTTTATTCCTGTAATGCATCCATGCGTGACCTCAAACAAAGGCGGGTTGCACTGATAAAGTAGCTGCTGCCATTTCTTGCAGTAGTTCCTCCTACCTGAACAACTCAAATGGCAATCACAATCAAAATGGTCATGGCAGAACATTGGCCAACAACAGTTTCACAGGGACTATCCCCCGCGAATTGACCAAGCTTGTCGGCCTTTTCTACCTGTAAGTTGCACTACTGCGAACTGTAGCAGGGTTGAGGATCTGCTCAGCCTTGTGCTTGAATTTCTGAGGCCACTTTGATCGAGAATCTTGATTGTTACCATTGTGCAGAAACCTCAATGACAACAATTTCCATGGATCTTTCCCATTCGGGCTGCTTCGGCTACCCGGATTGAACCTGCTGTAAGCAGCTCCAGTACACATGTTTCAGAAGAATCTCTTCTCCCGCCTTGTCTTTCTCTCAACTAAAGGGTAAATATTACTATCCCTGATATGTCAAATGGTATTTTGCAAGTACTTTGCTCCACTGCCAAACACCAAAAACAGGAGTTCGCATGCTACCTGCTTTGTTTGTTTCTCCTTGCATCTCTCAAGTTTCCAACTCAGACATGTGCATTGGGTCGAGTTTCGAAACTCAACTCGTTTGGGGGACTCGTCACGGGTCGAGTGTCGAGTGCGAGAATCCTCTGGAAAAAAACTTGACCGAGCCAGGTTGAGTTTTACTCGTCGAGTTTTTGAAAAACAACTGCATGTCTGTTCCAACTTTCCACCCCAAGCTCATTGTCAGCCTCGTAGAGGCCACGATTCATTCATGTGCTTAGGGAGTATCCTTGGTTTTGTAACTGCTGCATCCAGCCTCCTCTTGAATTTCCGAACCCAGGAAAGTATCTAACAACTCTCTTTCTGGGGAACTCCCACGGACTCTCAGGGTCACAACTTCTCTTGGCATACTGTAAGAAGTTGAAGCACTGAGTGCTGCCACCACTGTGTGTGTTGCCACCATTGTGTGTTCCTGGTGCAACGCTGTACCTTCATGGTTAACTTTTATGGAATCTTCATCTTCTTTTGAATTGTGTGCAGTGACCTGGGTGGAAATGACTTCACGGGCTCCTTACCAGACTTCTCACGCTGGAATATCAGCTGTGCAGATATGTAATATAAGTTTTCTCACACTCTCTTCCTCCTTTTCTCACTCTAAACAACGCTTGCTCAATCTTGGTCTCAGCATCAGGGTGCAAAATTGCGCCTCTTTTTATTTTTTGGGCGTAAAAATCACGGACAATATTTTCACTCGAACGACTTCGAGAGTTTTGGTCTGAAAAAAAAGAAATTGTACCTTGGTGAAAAACTTCGACTGTTCAAAAAAAAAAAAAAGAGGGATAGAGATTGTCAAAATTCGATGGGTGGAAATCTAACTTGCATTCTGCTTCCAGATCTGTGCAGATCGGCGCTTTCACCCGCTCTGCGCAGAGCCTGGGCAAAAATAGGTACCTGTACCGACCCGGGGGCGGGTCAGGCGTGACCCGGTCCTTTAAGGCCCGGTCGGGTCAGGATTTAGGAAACTCCGACCCAGGAAGACTGGACCTGACCCGAACTGGAACCCGTCTAACCCACGCCCAAATCGGGTCAGGTCGGGTCGGTTGGGTCACCCATAGTAAGCTGTAGCGTTCACCCCACTCACGACAGGCTATCTCGCTGCTGCCTCGCCTGTGTTGTTTGTGGCGCAGAAATCTCAGCGCCAACAACTTCACAGGGTCGATTCCCGACTCCATCTCCACCCTCACCACCCTCATTGGCATGTGAGCCTCCTCTTCTCTTCTTGTGCCACAACGAGTCAAAACACATGTCTTGGCATAGCAATGTGAGCCTTCTGATGCCTGGCATGAGCACATATCTATGGAGCTTTTCCCATCTGAACAAGGTGGCATGCCGTGTACAGAAGTCACCGTCGAACCTTCGTAGTGGCACGCAGCCAATGGCATGAGAAAGGTAGCAGTGGCAGCCTATGCACACACGCAGCTACATATGCTTAATTCGCACTTCCAACCAATGTACCCCGTTGCTATTCCCTGCTCTGCAGTTTTCTCAACAACAACCAGCTGACTGGCACCATCCCTTCAGCCATCTTCACCATGAGGAATCTGACATACATGTAAGCCGCATGTGTTTAGGGATCCCCTTTATAAGTGCCCATCACACGTTCCTACCTCTGCCCAATGGTACTTTCCTTTCTTGCACCAGCCTGCACAACTTCTGCATGCTCTGCTTCTCATCAAAATGTCTCCCTGCCATTGCTGTTGCTCTTCAGATACTTGGCCAACAACCATCTGAGTGGCACTCTGCCAGCTGCCATCAGCCAACTGGAGAATCTTGAACAGATGTAAGCGTGCCATGTGCCTTCCTCTACATTCCTCTACTATTTTAAAGAACAGTGCAACACACACAGCACATGCATAAGCTTGCAGTACATCGTTACCATAACAGACCTAGCAAACTTCCACACCATGAAATGAACACAAGAGACCAAAACACGCAAGCATCACCTGTGCCATCCCCACTCCACCCCCTGCTCTTGATGGAATTGTGTCCGTCTTTGTTCCTGCCAATTCTCTGTATGTCTCCCTAGCTGGTTGGACAACAACAACATTGAAGGCCCTCTGCCAGCTGGCATTTGCTCGCTGCCCTGGCTGTGGCGCCTGTGAGTGACAGTTATACACTTGATAGATTTTTTTTTTTTTAGTTTTTTTTTTTTTTCTAAGGAATTCTTTCTTACAGACCTTAAAGAAAGGGGGGGGGGGGGGGGGGGGGGGGAATATCTCCTGTTTTCATGATTTTGGAGATTGTTAAAACGTATGAAGTAGTTTCAGTTTTGTGTTGTGTGTTTGCCTTTCTGTGTGGGTGTGCGACTCATGAAGCGGCATGGTGTGTGGCGTGCTGCTTGCAGCATGATCAGCAACAACTCCCTCTATGGACCCCTGCCAGACTGCCTCTTTGACAACTGTATCACACAAATGTGAGCCTACCGTGCATACTCCATTCTCAGTACCATCCATGACAGCTCGCACCCTCAACATGGGCATTGCACAAACATCATTATCTGGTGGGACGGCCTCCGATCAGACACTCAATATCATCTCCTGCCCTCCGTGATCCCCCTGTGCTTTCCGCAGTGATGTGAGCGGCAACAGTCTGTATGGGCGCATCAACCGCGACTTCAAGAACATGCTGACGACCAGCGGCGGTGCCCTCCTTCGCACCTTCAAGAGCAAAGCGACGGATGACAATGCCCTCGTCAACTTGGCTCACAACTTCTTCTTTGGAGATGGGGTGCTCTTTGCTGCCGGCTGCAAGGTCTGCCCCACTGAGATCAACGAGCCCAACAACCTGGGCATAAGGGACAGCTTTGCATGGCAAGAGTTTGGTGGCAAGTGCGGCAGTCGTGCTCTAGATAGTCTCCTGTATGAGCGGGGCAAGACAGCGAGGGTGAGTCTGTCGGGCAACTGCCTGACTCTCACCCCGAGCAGCAAGTGCTCGGTCAACGCCACCCAGCGCAGCACGGTAGCCTGCCAGGCGTTCTGCAGCATCACAGACAACGGCCCGTGTGACGGCCATGGGGCGTGTGTGCCGGCTGCCCCCGCCTCCCCCTCCAGCTTCACGTGCCTCTGTGATGCGGGGTACAGTGCAGTCGACTCGGGCAACGGCTCCTCCACATGTGCCATCGTCCACTCCACCACCAACACCACCATTGGTAACCCTTGCTTCATTCTTACAGCTCCACATTTCATTCCTATGTTCTGCACCAGTAACCACGTTTCATGAGGCTTCTGCTATACACATGTTTATCACCGCCCCATGTCCACTCCCCGGCAGTGTCGTCTCTGTCGACGGGTGCCATAGTGGGCATTGTGCTGGGCAGCTTTGCTGGCTTCACGCTGTTGGCTTCTGTGGTCGCATGGCTGCTGTGGCCCCGCGGACAAAGTGTGCCCCTCAAACCCTTCACTTCCATTCCATCTCCCCCATTTCTGCACACTTTCCTGGCTTCCTTCCCCACTTTCCACCTCTCTCATTCTTTGTGCCTCTACTCTGCCCCCATGCTCGCCTCTGCTCTGCTCTCATGCTCTGTCCACGCATCTACACCCTTAGTCTCTCACACCTCTGGTCTGAAATTTTTCTGTGTGCAGAGAAGTGGGAGGGGTTGGACGTGTGTGAGCAGTTCTCGCTGCAGCAGATGCTGACTGCCACCAACAACTGGTCGGAGGACAATGTGCTGGGCAAGGGTGGATTTGGCGTTGTCTACAAAGGCCGCTCGCCACAAGGGCAGCTGTGGGCCATCAAGCGCTCCACCATCATGACCAACGACTTTGAAACGGAGGTGATGCATGCCTTTAGTTCCCTTTGCACGAGAAAAGACGTCACGAGACAACAGGGCACTCTCTGCTTCCCAAAATGCTGATCTTGTTCCATGTGTGTCCATGCTGCAGGTGCGATCAAAGGCCTCTCTCCACAACAAGTAAAGACATGGCACTCTTTGTTTCCAAAAATGCTGATCTGCAAATGCATGTCTCACTTTTTCATGCCCATGTGCACCTGCCTTCATTGTGCTCTCACTGCAGGTGCGAGCCATGGCCTCTCTCCACCACGTGCATCTCGTGCGTCTGCTGGGCTTCTGCCTGGACCAGAACGTGGAGACGGGCAAGCAGGAGCAGATCCTCGTGTACGAGTTTATGGCCAACAGGGACCTCGAGTACCATATCCACAGGACCAAGCGTGAGTCACACTAGCACAATTGTCGAACGGCATTTGTTTGTTAGTTTGTTTTGTTGTTTTCTTCAAAGGACATGACACCACCACTCATGAAATCATGTGTTCTGCTTGGCATACATGTTTCATGGCCCAGGTCCACTCTCGCTGCGCCAGAGGTTGCGCCTGGCACAGGGAACAGCAGAGGGCCTGGCGTACCTGCATGGGTTTGACACACCCATCGTTCACCGCGACATCAAGCCGGCCAACATCCTTGTGTCTGCCGACATGCAAGCCAAGGTGGCTGACTTTGGGCTGCTCAAGCGCCTCACTCACGGTGATGCTGATGCCACTCGGGTGGCCGGCACTCCGGGCTATGTGGATCCGGATTACAACCGCACCCACGTCATCACTGTCAAGAGTGACGTGTTCAGGTCCGCATGCTTGTTCCTTTGCACAACGCGATTGCCCATTCTGGTTTTTTTTTTTTTTTTTTTTTTTTTTTTGGTATATCTTCCAGGTTATGCCCTGTATTGCCTTCTTTACCGCTGTACATGCTTGTTCCTTTCCATGACACAATGAACTTGTGCACTTTTTGTTTATCCCCTTGGCTATGTTGAGTTCGTTCGTGTACCTTGTATTGGTATCTCTACATCTGTCCATTTCTTTGCACACAATGGATGATTGCTTGCAGCTTTGGAATTGTGCTTCTTCAGCTGCTGAGTGGCAAGTCACCCCATGTCGACCCCAAAACACATATAAGACAATGGGTATGCACATCAAGTATGAAACTCTTTTTTGTTTTGGATAAGAGTTGGAAACTTGCATATAAGAGAAAGGGTATGCTGATAAGATGTAGAATTCGTCTGACTTCGTTACTTCATGGCTGAACGTTTATCCTGAACGTTTATTCTGGACTTCGTTTCTTTTTTCGTTTTTCCTATTACGTTTATTCGTCTGACTTCCTTTTTTGCTGATTTTCACTGCTTCCTTGTTGTCATGCTGCCTTCCACCTCCCTTGCTTCATCACTTGCTGCTTTGCATTGCCTCACCATTCATAATCCATTCGTGTTACGTGTACGATGCCCTCCAGGCTATGAAGCTGGTGGAGGCGTATGAGGTGGATGAGCTGAAGGACAGCAAGATGCCGCCAGTAAGTGAGGAGGCCATAGTGGACTTTGCAGATCTGGCTCTGGACTGCATCAAGTCTCCTGGCACACGGCGACCCACCATGAAGGATGTGGCGTACCGCCTCAGTGCCCTAATTGCCAAGCACTGCCCCGACAGGGAGGACGAGTGGGAGAATGTTGTGAAAGAAGAAGGGACAAGCAACCAAGGGATGCCTTCTGAGTTGTGTGGAGATGGAGGGAGGGAGCCTGAGAGGTCTCGTGGCTCACAGTCTGGTGTGATCTCATTCATGGGTACTTTCTCCATGACTGATAGCCTCAAGAGCTGGCTGCAATTGAAGCCATCCAAAGGGTGTTGAGTTTGCCCATAATGGCTGCATGTTAGCTGCTTTGCACGGAGGAACTAGACTTCGGGGTATAGGTAGGTCGTACTCGAATAAAAAAGGAACAGGTGGCTACTCATCATGCACCAGTATGAATGGCTGGCCTCATATTGTATCAGTTGTGAGGTAGGAGGCACTTTTCCATGAATCTGGGATCTGGAAGCAAGAATGGCATGAGATGAGAGTCAGCTGAGCTTTGTTTTGTACATGGGAGGCATACTACACTGAAAGACATTGGCACTTGCATTACATCGATGTGCATACTCGTTGGCTAGTACCCACGAGGCTGCCATTCACAATGGTGGATGGACAGAAACAACCTGGCGTAGATTGCAGGAAGCGTGAGTGAGCAGAGCGGGGAGCCGCATAAGTCTGGAATGAAATGCATGCCAAGCCGTGTAGCAAGAGGTTTGCCCCACAAGCAGCCCACAATGGCAGTGTTGCCATGCCACCATCGCTCTTGTCATCCTTATTAATTGTCATCGTCATGTCATGTAATCATGCCCGCCACTATCAGTTGTCTTTTGAGACGTTTCAAAAACCAACTTTTGGGACGTCTCAAAAACCACCATCGCTGTTGTCAGCGTCATGCCACGTCGTCATGCCCGCCACTCTCAGTTGTCCAGCACCAGAATCTCTGCGTTGTGCCCTCTGTGAACAGACGAAGCAGCAGCACAAGGGACGGGGAAGAGTGGGAGCAGGGCAGGGACGGGATGAAAGACAGCAGCAACAGAGCACACAGAAGCAGAGCACACAGCAGCAGAGCTCACAAGAGCAGAGCACACAGAAGCAGAGCACACAGCAGCAGAGCTCACAAGAGCAGAGCACACAGAGCACACAGGTCCTGCCCACATGCATGACCAGCTTGCCATTAGACACGTTCACAGCCAGCCCTGCACTTCTAACAATGCATGCGTGTGCATCAGCAGGTCCCCCTCTGTGCGCCGGGGCACCCCGTCCCGATCCATGTGCTTGCTTGGCTGAGTCTTGCCTCGCCGCAACACCCGCCCACTGCCTGCGTCCTCCCCGCTGCTCCCCTCGCTTCTTCTGCCGCCCTCCCTCACTGCTGGCGTCACTGCCTGCTGTTGTGCCCTCATCCCCCTCTCCTGCCTCGTGTCAGTCCGTGAGTGTTGCGTGGGAGGTGGCAAGAAAACCAATCCCGCATCATGTTTCGCACATAATCTCATCAGTTCCCCCTCCTCCCTTTCCTCCTTCTGCTCCCTCTGCTCCTGCTGCTCTCGTGCCCGCCTCTTCTGCCTCGTGTCAGTGCGGGATCGTCGCATGGGTGGCACCGCCGCTGCTTCCAATTCCAAATCTTGTTTCATGCACGCACCCTTCTGCTCCACGTGCTCCCCCTGCTCCCTTTGGCTCTTTCTGCTCCCTCACCCGCCTATCCTGCCTTGTGTCTGTGCGGGATCGTCGCATTGGAGGAGGTACAGGCGCTGGCTATGTGACTGCATGCTCTCTCGCTCCCTGCATCACCCCCATCCTCTCTCTCCCTCTCGTATCCGGCATCGCATTTGGACCCAACCCCAGCAACCCCATTCCCATGCTTAAGCTCCTTTCCATCCCTCCTCTACTCCCCACACTAAGCCCAATGCTCACCACCCCCTCTTTCCAGCTCCAAACACATATCCACCCGATCCAACCCGATCCCCACTCCCAATCCAATTGTTTTCTCACAGAGCTCCTCCAGCCTCCTTGACTCCCCTCTTCCGGGCATCTTCACCATCCAAGCACCCCCCTCCTCCCACTCGCCCTCCCTCACTCTCACCTCCCTCACTCCCGTCTCCCCAGCCACTGCCAACAACTCTTGCTCTTCCTCCTCCTCCCTCCTCCTCCTCTCTCTCTCTCCTGCTGCTGTTCTAGCTCCCTCAGCCTCGCCTCCTCCTCCAAGACTGCCACGTAGCCTGGTGCCTGTAGCTGCTGAAGGGCGGGTGGTATACCACTGTGCTTGCTTTGAGGCCCACTGCTCCCTTCCCTCCTACTAGCCCCGCAGCCTCTGCTGCTCTCCTTGCTCTTTCTTTCCCAGTTGCAGCAGCACCAACACCACCACCACCACCGCTATTGGCACCAACAGTGCCAGCACCATTGGCAGCCGCTGCAGCAGCAGCAGCACTTGCACCACCACCGTTTGCAGCAACCGCAGCAGCGGCAGCAGCAGCAGCCGCAGAGGCAGGGCAACCCAAGGGAGGGCGGCAGGCGGGGAGATGGCGGGAGGCGAAGAGACGGCGGGAGGCGGGACAAAGAGCATGCTGCAACGCGTGAGGATGGATGATAAGGGAGGGCTGCCGGGGATACAGAGGGCAAAGTGCAGTTCTCCGTGCGCGCGTCGTTGTTAGGACTCTGGGGGGTGGGTGGGGGTTCCACTGGTTGCGACCGCCCTCTGTTCACCCTGCTAGTCACCCCCTGCCCACTGCGCTGCCTGTGCTCTTTCGCCTGCCGCCCTTGGGGAAGCAGATGCGCAGCGAGGAACGGCGAACGCGGCGGCAAGCACGAAAGGAAGTACTAACAGATGAGGGAGTGGTTGGGGAGGACTTGGGAGCGGTGGGGGGTGACTAGGATTGGTTTGAAGAGGCGGAGGAGGGCGTGTCGTGCCTTCAGAGTCAGACGGTGGCGAGCACGGCAGAAACGGAGAATGGGAGAAGCCGCAAAGCTGTGTGGAAGCATCTGTCTGCCAAGCCAGCAGGGCGGCCGTTGGCCACACTGCAGCACAGACTTTCGGCGCGCAGGCAGGCAGGATAGGCGATGGCAGTAATGGCAGTACCGGTAGAGGCAGCGGCAGCAGCAGCAGAGAGGGTGAGCGACCCGTGCTGCTGGGCTGCGAGGGCTTGTGAGGGAGCAACCGCGTGCGCGCGTTCGACCCTACCAAGTACGAGATGACAGCAACAGCCGTCGCTGCAGCAGCTGCAGCAGCAACAGACGCAGCCAAAGCTGTGCCTGAGAGCAACTACGAGGTAACATCCATGCCTGGAAGCTATAGAAGTGCAGTGGAAGGCCGTCGCGGAGGGGCAGAGGGAGGCGCGACGGAAGGCCGTCGCGAGGCCAAGGGCGATGATGCTGTGGTGACGTCAGCAGCACTGGGAAAGAGCCAGCCCGTGGCAGCGGCGTGGTGGCAATTTGGCGAGCCTGATAAGGTAACCAGCAGCGGCAGGAAGGGCGGCAGGCGGAAGAGCACAGGCAGCGCAGTGGGCAGGGGGGTGACTAGCAGGGAAAACAGGGGGCAGTCGCGACCAGTGGAACCCCCACCCACCCCCCAAGAGTCCTGACAACAACGCGCACACGGAGAACTGCACTTTGCCCTCGGTCCCTAGCAGCCCTCCCCTATCACCCGTCCTCGTGCGTTGCAGCATGCTCTTCATCCCACCTCCCGCCATCTCCCCGCCTCCCGCCATCTCCCTGCCTGCCGCCGTCTTTTGGGTTGAGAAGACAGCAATCTGCTGCTGCCGCACTGGCCTCTGCTGCCCCTTGTGTGTTGTATGCGGCTCAGAGGCAGAGTGAGAGGCAGGTTTACTTGACTGCAGGAGCAGGCAAGGAGGGCAGGGAAGCGCATAAGGAGCGCAGGCGCCCAGTGGTGGTATACCAGAAGAGCAGCAGCACTGGTAGCAGCAGCGGGGGAGGAGGCACTAGTGGCACCAGCGCCAGCAATGCCACCAGCTGCGGCAGTGGCAGTGGCAGCAGCAATATGCCGAGCAGCCAAAGTGGCAGTGCTGCTGCCCAGCCCAAGCGCATTGCCCATAGCATGACCTACCACCCTGGCGGCAACACAAAGACTAGCCTAGCCACGGTTGGGAGCAGCAGCAACAGCAGCAGCAGCGGAAGCAGCAGCAACAACAACAGCAACAGCAGTACCCACTACCGCACCTCGCCTTCATCCTCAACTTGTCGCCCCTCTCCCCTGCTCCCTTTGTCACCACCACCACCACCAGCGTCCCTCGTCCCTCTTCTGTCGCCCCTGTTCCTCACCCGTCGCCCCTTGGTCTCACTCTCTTTCTCTGCCTCAGCTTCACCGTCAGCCTTGGCCAAGCCTAGGCCTCTGAGCCGCGCCAACTCCGCTGCCCTGGCGCTGCTGCATCCGCAGCCCATCTTGCTGGCCGGTGGGAAGCGATTCAGCAGCCGCAGCCCTGCTGCTGCGGCTGCTGCTGCCGCCGCCGCTGCGGTTGCTGCAAACGGCAGTGGTGCTAGTGCTGCTGCTGCAGCAGCGGCTACCAATGGTGCTGGCGCTGTCACTGCTCTCAATAATAGTGCTGCTGCTGCAACTGGGAAAGCAAGAGAGCAACTGAGGCGGCAGCGACAGCAGGAGGAAAGGGAGCAATGGGCCTCAAAGCGAGCGAATTGGTATACCACCCGCCCTTCAGCAGCTACAGGCACCAGGCTGACGTGGCAGCCCAGGAGGAGGAGGCGAGTCTGAGGGAGCTGAAGCAGCAGCTGGAGAGGGAGAGGAGGAGGAGGGAGGAGGAGGATGAGGAAGACTTGTTGGCAGTGGCTGGTGAGAGGGGAATGAGGGAGGTGAGAGCGAGGGAGAGCGAGTGGGAGGAGGGAGGTGCTTGGATAGTGAAGATGCCCGGAAGGGGGGAGTCGAGGAGGCTGGAGGAACTCTGTGAGAAAGTGGTTAGAATGGGTGTTGCTAGGGTGGGGATGGGGTTGGATGGAGTGGAGATGTGTTTGGAGTTGGAAAGAGGGGTGGTGAGCATTGGGCCTAGTGTGGAGGGTAGAGGAGGGATGGGAAGGAGCTTGAGCATGGGAATGGGGTCGATTCCAGAAGCGATGCCGGATGCGAGAGGGAGGGAGCGGGTGGGGGTGATGCAGGGAGGGAGAGAGCATGCAGTCACATCACCAGCACATGTACCTCCTCCCATGCGATGGTCCCGCACAAACACGAGGCAAGAGAGGCGGGAGAGGGAGCAGCAGGAGCAGATGGGTGCGTGCGTGAAATAAGATTTGGGAATGGAAGCAGTAGCGGCGCCACCCATGCGACGGTCCCACGCTGACACAAGGCAGGAGAGGCAGGCAAGGGAGCAGCAGGAGCAGAGGGAGCAGTTGGAGCAGATGGGTGCATGTGGGGCTGGTTCCCGTCCCACCTCCCATGCGACGGTCACGGACTGACACGCGGCAGGAGAGGGGGATGAGGGCAGGGCAGCAGGCAATGACAACAGCAGTGAGGGGAGGTGGCAAAAGAAGCAAAAGGTGCAGCAGAGGGGAAGCAGGCAGCAGACGGGTGTTGCGGCGAGGCAAGACACGGCCGAGCCGGCGCTTGGAGCAACGGGAGGGGGTGGCCCGACGGAGAGAGGGGGTGGCCCGGCGGAGAGAGGGGGACCTGCTCATCCGCACGCATGCTCTGTGAGTCCCGTGGGTGAAGGGGGGGGGGGGGGGGGGGGTGAGGGGAGGGGTGGTTGTGATTGTGTCTCGTGGCAAGTTGCTGGAGCCTGTGTGGCAGGAGGTGTGCTCTGCTGTTGATGTCGTCTCATCCCTTCTTCGCCGCTCACTCTTTTTGTCTGTCCCTTGCACTGCTGCCGCTGCTGCTGCTGTGTCTGCAGAGGGCAAGACGCAGAGATTCTGGTGCTTGACAACTGACAGTGCTTGTGGGCACTGCGAAGAGTCACTACACAAAGGGAGTGGACTACGGTGGAGGGCACGGGGTTGAGCGGGTGATCGTAGTGTTGTTCTAAAGCTCTTACTGCTTGCTGTGTTCATAAAGAAGTTTGGCAAGAGTTGCCACTAAGGAATTGAAAAGGAACAACTTGCAATGAAAAGTTGATAAGACAAATGAGGCATGCATAACAAAAGGACTAGAATGGCATGGAACTCCTAGCAAGGGCGAACTTTGCCAGCGCAGCAGAAGAGCGGCTCACCAACGTTGCAGCAGAGTGGTCTGCCAACGTTGCTCTGCGCGCGGTCTCCCAGCACTGCAGTCGCAGGTGACTATATGCAGTCGCAGGTAACTATCTGCTATCTATCTGTGTAGATGTGCGCACCTACCAAGTAGGTGCAGGTTGGCGGTTTCCCCGTTAGGCACATTGCGCAGGTGCCAGGTGTGAGAACATTATAGCTTATACATTTGTTTAGGCTGTAGTGGGGTAGCCCATATGGGGTACAACCCAATTACGGTTAGTACTTGTACCCAACTCTTTCATAGTTCATTCATCCATTCTCACTTCTCGTCATAGTATCGAGCAGGTTCCCGAGTGGGAATACTGCCTAGGGCCCACCACGTACTTTTTTTTTATTTTTTTCCTTCCCTGCCCGGAGCGCGCTTAGCTCCTCACCCGAGTAGCGCCCCGAGTCGCCTTTGTGGCCCCTTTTGGCCGCCCTTACTGCTCCTCGAGCCGCCCACAGTCGGCCCCGCTACGGCCCCGTCGGCCCCGCCCCGCTTAGGCCTCGCTACGGCCTCGCTACGGCCCCGCTACGGCCCCGTTGGCCCCGCTTAGGCCCCGTCGGCCCCGCTTAGGCCCCGTCGGCCCCTCTCCAGCCCCGCCTAGGCCCCGCTACGGCCCCGATTGGCCCCGCTTAGGCCCCATCGGCCCCGTTGCGGCCCCGCTTAGGCCCCGTCGGCCCCACTTAGGCCCTGTTGCGGCCCCGCTCCAGCCCCGCTACGGCCCCGTCGGCCCCGCTACGGCCCCGCTACAGCCTCGCTAAGGCCCCGTAGGCCCCACTTCGGCCCCGTTGCGGCCCCGCTGCAGCCCCGCTACGGCCCCGTTGGCCCTGCTACGGCCCCGCTAAGGCCCCGTCGGCCCCACTTAGGCCCCGTTGTGGCCCCGCTACGGCCCCGTCGGCCCCGCTACGGCCTCGCTCAGGCCCCGTCGGCCCCACTTCGGCCCCGCTACAGCCCTGCTACGGCAGCGTCGGCCCCGCTACGGCCCCGCTAAGACACAGTCGGCCCCACTTCGGCCCCGCTGCGGCCTCCACTACGGCCCCGCTACGGCCCCTTCGGCCCTGTCGGCCCCGGTACGGCCCCACTTCAGCCCCGTCGGCCCCTCTTAGGCCCCGCTACGGCCCCTCTTAGGCCCCTGCTACGGCCTCGGTCAGCCGCCATTTGCGACCCCGCCGCCCAGCACCCGCAGCACCAAGCAGCTGAGCCGCCCGACCGCTCGAGTCGCCCAGCAACCGAGCCGCCAGGCAGCCGAGCCGCCCGACAACCGAGCCGCCAGGCAGCCCAGCCGCCCGAGAGCCGAGCCGCCCGACAGCCGAGCCGCCCAGCACAATGCAGCCGAGCCGCCCAGCAGCCGAGCCGCCAAGCATCGTGCAGTCGAGCCACTCTGCAGCCGAGCCGCCGAGCAGCCCGATCGCCCCACCTGCCTGGTAAGAGCCCAATCTCTGCCACTGCACTGCCTTGCCTCACTGCGCTCACTACCTGCCTACTGCTGTTATGGCTTCCCCTAGCGTTCTCACCTTTGACGCTGAGGGTCGGGCAGTGGACTTTGAGGTCTGGGTAGATGATCTACAGCTTTTTCTGCAGTGCAATAGGGCAGACGGCCTCTCCCTATTTGACCTCACTTCTGGTGCCTCCCCTGCCCCTACTGCTGATGCTGACACCACTGTTTGCTCACAGTGGGCCACACGTGATGCTGCTGCTCGCCTTGCTGTTCGCCGCCTCTTACCGACCACTGAGCGTGCACACTTTAGCCACTACAAGAGTGCTCAGACCTTGTACGACGCTGTAGTTGCACGCTACTCTTCCCCTGCCACTGCTGCACTAAGCCGCCTCAAGCTATCGTACCTCTTCCCTGACCTTGCTGCCTTTCCCACTGTCGCTGACCTCATTACGCACCTCCGCACTCTTGACACTCGCTACCGCGCTGCGCTTCCTGCTGATTTCTGCGCCAAGAACCCCCCCCCCCCCCATGTACATCACCCTCTACTACATAGTCACCCGGCTCCGTGACTCTCTTCGCGTAGTCAGGGACCACTTCCTCTCTGTTTTCCCCACCACTCTCACCGTTGACCTCCTCGAGAAGGCCCTCCTAGCGATAGAGAAGAGCATAGTCGCTGTAGGATCCTCTCGTGGTGACCCTCGCACCCCCATCTTTGAGGGGTGTTCTCCCTCCCCCCTCTTGCCCTCTGTTGCCTCTGTTGCTGCGGCCGACCTCGTTGGTTTCGAGTCGGTCGATGCTGCGTCTCCCCTGAGCGCGAGATGCCGCACCGGCAAGGGCAAGGGGGGCAAGGGCACTAGAGGGGGTGGAGGGGGCGGTGGAGGTGGTGGTGGAGGCGGTGGAGGGAGTGGGGGTGGTGGTGGGAGTGGTGCCGGAGGTGGTGGCGGCGGCGGCAGCAGTGGAGGCGGCAGAGGCGGTGGAGGTGGCGGAGGGAGCGGAGGCGGCGGAGGTAGTGGAGGCGGCGGAGGTGGAGGAGGCGGCGGAGGCGGCGGAGGCGGCGGCGGAGGCGGAGGCGGCGGTGGTGGAGCGAGTCGCGACTCTGCGCCGAGGAGTGGCTCCGGTGGTGGTCAGCGCCAGCAGCAGCAGCGGAGTGGTGTGATCATGTCCCCTTAGCAGCTTCGTGAGTGGTACACTGCACGCCAGCGCGGTGGGGGTTTTGGTCCCTGCTCTTACGTTCTCCGTACTGGCGACCGCACTGGTGAGCAGTGCGGAGGTCCGCACTCCACCCAGCGCTGCTTTGGTCTCCTGACGGACGCATGGCGTCGCCTGTTCCCTGAGGCGTCAGAGATCCCTCGCTGGGGAGATCTGGCTAAGGCCGGGGTTGCTATCTTTGATCTTGACTTTGATGCTATTCTTGCTGCCATGTATGCTGTTGCTGATAGTGTTGAGGGTGTCTGTTACCTGTGTGTACCGCATGACCCGGGCATTGAGGCTGCTGCGCTAGGTGCTGGTGAGACTGCTGCTCTAGGTGCTAGTGCGTCTACTGCCCCAGGTGCCAGTACGTCTGCCGCCCCAGGTGCTGGTGAGTCTGCTCTCTCAGGTACTACGTCGGCTCAGGCCTTCCACACCTTCACCCTGGACTCGGGTGCGTCCCGCTCCTTCTTTCGAGAACGCACCACTCTTACGCCGCTTAGTCGGCCGGTTGCAGTCTCCCTGGCAGACCCCTCTGGGGGTCTTGTCCTTGCTAGCTTCTCCACTGTCCTTCCATGCCCTGCAGCCCCCTCTGGCACCCTATCTGGTCTCTACCTCCCCTCTTTCTCTACGAACTTGGTGAGTGGAGCGGACCTCCAGGATCGAGGGGTTGACCAGTTCACTCCTGCGAGTCAGCGAGTGACCCACTGCACGTGTGCTTGGACAGGCCGACACTTGGCCACGTTCACTCGTCGGCCAGGGTCGAGCCTGTACACCCTTACTGGTGAGTCTCCTCCTACTGCTGAGTCTGCCCAGGTGGCTGCGTCGAGTCAGGTGTTTGCTGCGGCGTCCAAGTCTGGTCCTGAGTCTGCCCCCTGCTCGTGTCGTCTACTGTCCCACCAGACTCTCCTTTGGCACCACCACCTTGGTCACCCCTCCCTGCCTCGTCTCCGAGGCATGGCCTCCCGTGTCCTTCTCTCTGGTCTTCCTCGGTCTCTCCCTCCCCTTCCTCGAGGCTCCGCTGCAGACTCTACACATGGACGTGTGGGGTCCAGCCCGCGTCAGTGGGCAGGGGCGAGAGCGGTAATTCCAGCTGGTCGTTGACGACTACTCGCGCTACACTACAGTCTTCCCCTTGCGCAGCAAGGGTGACGTCACTGAGGTGTTGATCGACTGGATCCGCGCAGCTCGTCTCCAGCTCAGAGAGAGTTTCGGCTCGGACTTTCCTGTTCTGCGTCTGCACTCGGACAGAGGCGGGGAGTTTTCCTCTGCCCGTCTGGGAGCCTTCTGTCGTGCACAGGGCATCCGTTAGACGTTCACGCTTCCGGCCTCTCCACAGCAAAATGGGATTGCTGAGCGCCGCATTGGCATGGTCATGGACGTCGCTCGTACGTCCATGATGCATGCGGCTGCCCCCCATTTTCTGTGGCCATTTGCGGTTCAGTACGCCGCGCATCAGCTCAACCTTCAGCCCCGGGTCTCCTTGCCAGAGACCTCCCCCGCCTTGCGGTGGACAGGGAAGGTTGGTGATGCGTCTGCATTTCGGGTCTGGGGATCTCGGGCGTTTGTCCGCGACTTGTCCGCGGACAAGCTGTCCCCCCGTGCTGTTCCTTGCGTCTTCCTTGGCTTCCCCCCTGGCGCGCCTGGCTGGCGGTTTTACCACCCGACCACGCGCCGTGTTCTGTCCTCCCAGGACGTCACCTTTGACGAGTCGGTGCCTTACTACCGTCTCTTCCCCTACCGCACTGCGCCCCTCCCCCCGCCGCCGCTCTTCCTTGCGCCAGGTGCTACCCAGATAGACCCCCTCCTCTCTCAGGGTCCTGCCTCTTCAGGTGTGTCCCAGGTAGACGCAGTCGAGCCTGTCGAGGTAGCAGTTGACTCTGGTGTTGCTAGAGGTGCTGAGCCTGCGGGTGCCAGGTCTGCGGGTGCCGGGTCTGGGGGTGCTGAGACTGGGGGTGCTGAGCCTGGGGGTGCTGAGTCTGGGGGTGCTGAGCCTGGGGGTGCGGAGCCTGGGGATGCTGGGTCTGGTCGTGTGGCCGCCGGCGGTGCTTCGTCGAGGCGGGAGCCTCTCTCTCCACAGGAGCTGTGCGAGTGGTTCGCCCGCCGCTGGAGACGTGCTGCTGAGTCTGGGGGTGCTGGTGGAGCTGCTGTCGATGCTGGTGCTGCTGGAGGTGGAGCTGCTGGGGGTGTTGGCGCTGGTGTTTCTACTGGTGCTGGTGCGTCTCGGGGTGCTGCTGCGGCAGCTGGTGCTGACGGTCCTACTGGAGTTGGTGCTGCTGGAGCTGGAGCTGCTGGGGGTGTTGGCGCTGGCGGTGCTGCTGGCGCTGGTGCTTCTGAGGGTACAGGAGTTGGTGCTGTTGGAGCTGGAGGTTCTGCTGGCGCTGGTGCTGCTGCTGGGGGTAGTGGTGCCGTCCCTGCTAGTTCTGGAGGCGCTGAGCGGCCGAGGCCGTACTTCGTTCCGCTCCTGGAGCAGGTTCTTGGTCTCCTGCCCTCTCCTGGTCTTGCTCCTCCCTTAGAGTGTCCACACCCTGTCCTGTCACAGTCACAGTTACAGCCTGCCTCCCCGCTACCTGCTCCTTCACCCTACACTGGTCCTATTGGAGTTCTTGCTGAGCGTCGTGAGCCTGCGTCTCGTCCTGCGTCGCCTGTTCGTGCTGCTCGCACCAGTCGTTGTGCTGCGCGTCCGCGTCCTCCTTTGGTCCCCGGCACACACCAGATGACACTGCGTCCGTCTACTGCTCCGCAGCGTGTCCCTTTGCCGTCTCCTCCAGATTCCTCTCTTCCTTCTCTTGCTGACCCAGAGTCTGACTCCTTTCGTGCTGCAAGTCCTTCGGTCACGCGCTATCTTACTGCTTTTGTCACTGACCCTACCTTTGAGTCCACTGCTGCGTCTGCTCAAGTTGCTGAGCTTGTCAACTTCGCTGCTCGTTGTCGTCTAGACTACGCTGCTAGTCTTTTTGCTGATTCTGAGTCTGTCTGTCCTCCGTCCGTCGGGGGTGAGTGTGCTATTAGCACGGACGTCCTTGAGGACAGGCAGGAGGAGTTCCAGTGCTTTGCGGGTGCTTTACCCCATCTCGTGTCCACGCTGATTGCCCCTGAGGGAGACTCGGATGCACCAGACATCCCGCCTCCTCGATCGTGTCAAACATTATATATGTTGTGTTAGTTTAGGCTACAGTGGGTTAGCCTATAGGGGGTACACAATTCTAGGGCTAGGTACTTGTACTCATTTCACTGCTAGTTCATTCATTCCTGTTCAGTTATTCCAACATGGTATAGAGCAGGTCCTTCCTAGGACCGAAATTTTCTAAGGGCCCACCACTACGTAACTACCTACCTACCTACCTACCTGTGCCCTAGGGCGCCTCGGCGTGTCACGCTCCTAGAGGCCCCTCTTGACAGCCCCGCGCTAGCCCCGTTCAGGCCCCGTCGGCCCCACGCCCGCTCTCCCTAGCGGCCCCGTTCAGGCCCCGTCGGCCCCTTTAAGGCCCCGTTCAGGCCCTGCGCTAGCCCCGTTCAGGCCCCGTCGGCCCCGTTTCAGGCCCCGTCGGCCCCGCGCTAGCCCCTCTCAGGCCCCGTCGGCCCCGCGCTAGCCCCATTCAGGCCCCGGTCGGCCCCGCGCTAGACCCGTTCAGGCCCCGTCAGCCCCGTTTCAGGCCCCATCGGCCCCGTGCTAGCCCCGATCAGGCCCCGTCGGCCCCGTGCTAGCCCCGATCAGGCCCCATCAGCCCCTTGCTAGCCCCGTTAAGGCCCCGATCGGCCCCGCGCTAGCCCCGTTTAGGCCCCATCGGCCCTATTTCAGGCCCCGTCGGCCCCGTTTCAAGCCCCGTCGGCCCCGCGCTAGCCCCTTTCAGGCCCCGTCGGCCCCGTGCTAGCCCCGTGCTAGCCCCGTCGGCCCCACGCTAGCCCCACTCAGGCCCCGATCGGCCCCGCGCTCGCCCCTCTAGGGCCCCAACCGGCCCCGTGTCGACCTCGCCGACCCGTGCCCACCGCTCCTAGAGGCCCCGGGCGGCCCGTTCCCGCCGCAGCCCGCGACCGAACCGAGCCGCGTGACCCGAGCCGCGCGACCCAAGCCGCGCGACTCGAGCCGCGCGCCCCAAGCCGAGCCGCACGCCCTGAGCCGAGCTGCGCAACCCAGCCGAACCGCGCGACCCGACCTGAACCGAGCCGCGCCGCCCTGCCCTACCTGGTTTGTCCTACCTGCTTCTCCTACTGCTATTTTCTACTGTTCCTATGGCTAGCCCACAGGTTCTTGTGTTCGATGCTGAGGGCCGCCCTGTGAAGTTTGACACCTGGCTCGATAACCTGCACCTCTACCTACAGCTCACAGCCAAGGATGACATCTCACTGTACGATCACGCCCTAGGCAATGTCACTGCCCCTGCTGCTACTGCTGACAGCACTGCTCGCTCACAGTGGCAGACTCGTGATGCCCACGCTCACTTCGCTATTTGCAACTCCCTGCCGATAGACGAACGCGAGCACTTTGGTCAGCACAAGACTGCACAGGCACTGTACACAGCTATAGTTGCTCGCTACTCCTCACCTGCTTCTGCCGCGCTAGGCCGTCTCTCCCTCCCCTACCTGTTTCCCGACCTGGCCTCCTTTCACACAGTCGCTGACCTCATCACGCACCTCCGTACTAGTGAGGCCCGCTTCCGTGCCGCCATGCCTGCTGAGTTCCTTGCCACGCACCCCCCTCCACTCTCGCTCACTCTCTACCACCTAGTCACCCGCCTCCCTGACACACTACGTGCTGTCAGGGACCACTTCCTAGCTCGTTGCCCCACTGAGCTCACCATTGCCCTCCTCGAGAAGAAGCTCCTTGCAGCTGAGACTAGCATAGTCACTATAGGTGCCTCTCGTAGCGACCCCCGTACCCCGTTCTTTGAGGGGTGTTCTCCTTCCCCCCTTCTTCCCTCTGTCGCCTCTGCTGCTGCTGTCGAGCTTCTTGGTGCTGAGAAGGTCGGCGCTGCGTCTGCCTCGAGCGGGCGCCGCATCGGCAAGGGCAAAGGGGGCAAGGGTGGTGGCGGTGACGGCGGGGGAGGCGGCGGTGGGGGCGGTGGAGGAAGTGGGGGTGGTGGCTCGGCTGGAGGGGCAAGTGGTAGCGGTGGGGGTGGTGGCGGCAGCGGCGGGGGAGGTGGCAGGAGTGGAGGCCGCGGTTGGGGTGGCGGTGGACGAGGCGGCGGCAGGGGTTGGGGTGGTCGAGGAGGTGGCAGCGGTGGTGGTGGCCGTGGAGGCGCTGGCGGTGGCCAGGGCCAGCAGCACACTCCTTCGCCCCAGGAGGTCCGTGAGTGGTACTCTCAGCACGGGGGTGGGGGTGGTCTTAGCTGCACGTACGTCATTCGCACTGGTGACCACAATGGTCAGCAGTGTGGACGACCGCACGCCACACAACGCTGTTTCTCTCGTCTCGACGACGCTTGGCGTGTGCAGTTCCCTCAGGCCACTGAGCTGCCCCGTTGGCTTGATCTCCTGAAGAAGGGGATTGATATCTATGCTCTAGAATTTGATGCTATTCTATCTGCCATGTATGTGATGTCTACTAGTGGAAAGGGTGCTGAGTACTTGTGTGTGCCGCCCAACCCGGGCAATAGGGCCAGTGCGTCTGCCGCTCCAGGTACTCGCGTGTCCGCTACGCCAGGTGCTGGTGAGGCTGCTGCTCTAGGTGCTCGTGTGTCTCCCCCCCTTGGTACTGCGTCGACTGCCGCACTGCACACCTTCACACTCGACTTAGGTGCTTCTGGCTGCTTCTTTCGTGACCGCACTACCCTTGAGCCACTTGCTCGGCCAGTTGCTGTCTCCCCTGCTGACCCCTCTGGGGTTCCGGTCATTGCGACCTCTTCCATTGTCCTTCCCTGCCCTGCGGTCCCGTCGGGCACACTGTCAGGTCTCCACCTCCCCTCGTTCTCTACGAACTTGGTGGCAGGATGTGCGCTCCAGGACGGGGGTGTTCACCAGTTCACCCCTGCCTACGAGCGCATGACACACTGCACGTGTGCTCGTACGGGCTGTCACTTGGCTACCTTCACGCGGCAGCCGGGGCCGGACCTGTACACACTGACTACTGAGTCCCCTCAGGTTGCTGCATCTTCGTCCGTGTCCGCGTCAGGTCAGCTGTCAGCCCCCTGCTCGTGTCGCTCTCTGGCACACGAGACTGTCCTCTGGCACCACCGCCTTGGCCACCCGTCTGTGCAGCGGCTTCGTGCCATGCACTCCCGGTACCTTGTCTCTGGCCTCCCCAGGGTCCTTCCTCCCCTCCCTCCCTCACCTGCTCCTCCTTGTCTCCCCTGTGTCGAGGGACGGCAGCGTGCCGCTCCTCACTCCTCCTCGTTCCCCCCGACGACTGCTCCCTTGCAGACGCTCCACATGGACGTGTGGGGCCCAGCCCGTGTCCGTGGTCAGGGTCAAGAGAGGTACTTCTTGATAGTTGTTGACGACTACTCGCGCTAAACCACGGTCTTCCCCTTGCGCACAAAGGGTGAGGTCCCTGATGTCTTGATCCCTTGGATCCGCAGAGCCCGTCTCCAGCTCAGCGAGCGTTTTCACTCGGACTTTCCTATCCTACGCTTGCACTCTGACAGAGGTGGTGAGTTCTCCTTCGACCTCTTGGCAGCCTACTGTGCTGATCCCGGCATTGAGCAACCGTTCACGCTTCCGGCCTCTCCACAGCAGAATGGGGTTGCGGAGCGCCACATTGGCCTGGTCATGGAGGTCGCCCGTACCTCCCTGATCCATGCGGCTGCCCCCCACTTTCTGTGGCCGTTTGCAGTCCGGTACGCTGCGCATCAGCTCAACCTCTGGCCCCGTGTCTCCTTGCTGGAGACCTCGCCCACGCTGCTGTGGA